TCTATGTACTGTCAATTTTTTTTAAAGATTTATTTTTATTTATTTATGCATACAAGAACTGGAGTGTAGGCCAGAGGTGTGGGGGGCAGGCATGAAGGGACTCACCAGAGACAGAGTGGGGAGCAGAACAGGCAGATCGACTGAAATACACTGCTGAGGGGAGCAGAGGGGGAGACAGGGGAGGTCTGCTGCTCCATGTGGGTCACCTCCTTGGCTGGGGATCGAACTCATATCACAGTTGCTGGTGATAGCTTGATAGCTCTGAGACTTAACCCGAGACTTGGCACCACCAAGGTGGCCTGGCCTGTCATTCTTATTGTTACCACTCCAAGCAGGTCCTCAGCACCTATCCATCCTCCCACAGCACAGAGTTAGGAGACCAAACAGGTACTCTAGGTCCACCTGGCAAATTCCCAAAGGACAGGTCTGGGCATGGTGCCAGGTGAATGGGATCCAGGGGTGATTATACTAGAGGCACTAATGTGAAGAACTGTAAGGAGAGTTTTAAGGAAAATAATTTGACCTGAAAGTATTCACATGGGCGCCATGATGCAAAACCCAAGAAGTGAGGAACTGAGGAAGCAACTGGATGAGGTTAAGTGAGAATTCCCTGAACCTGGATTCAAGTGTTCTCTCAAGTTTTCTCAGCTGTGCCGTCATATGTGATGTGAGTGTGGGAGGAGATATAAAGGGCACAACATGAGGTGACAGCTCTGTGTGAATTAATCTAAGTGCTTCCTAAGTGGCTTTTGTACTTTCAGGGACACTAGCGCCCACTCACCCCACCCTTACCTCTACCCCCACGCCATCCAGCACAATCTGCCCGATTCAGCTCCTTAAAGTGCAGCTCCAATTGCATCACTCTTGTGCTCAAAATTTTCTGGGGCTTCCCACCACCACAGGCCAAGTTCAATGGACACCTTCAGCCCTGATGGGGAAGACCGCTGTGTTCCCCATTCACACCTCTATGTCCCAGAAAGTCTCTATGTCCCGGAAACACAGTTTATTTTATCTCAGTAAATATTTTCAGAGGTCAGTTGTTTTGTTCCTATGGTCAAGAAAAGGACAATAAAACTTCCTTGTCCGGGGAATATAGGGATCTTTGCTTTGCTTTGTTTAATGGGTAAGGGGACTGTTGCTACTTTACTTTAAGAAGAACTTTTTTGTATTCAAAAAGATCACTAAAAACATATAATTTTGTTCTTATGGCTTTGATTTGGATATTGAATAAGTATCAGAACTGTTGAATCATCACACTATTATGGTTAAAATTAAATCTGTGCCCAGGTATCAATTTGCCTTCCCCAAGATGAATTTTTATTACATGCAATAAATATTTATTGAATATCTACTAAATTTTTAATCACCATTTTCTATTCTAGACTGAAGAACACCAACAAAATGCATAATCTTTGTCCTAAAGCAGATTATGGTGTGGCATGTGAAATTAAAAAAAATCTCAAATAAATCATGTTAGTAAAAAGCACAAGTACAAAATACAATAACCGACATGAGAGAAGTAAAATGTATTAGGGGAGTTCAGAAAGAAGATGAGACAAAACAAGAAGATATCTAACTGGGTGATTTTTTTCAAATATCCAATTTAGTTACTTTATAGTAAAAATGCTAACTTTCCAGGGAATCAGAATTCCAAAGACCATTTTCAATTTATAAGGATGTTGCCTGGAGTTGATGAAATTCTCAGAGCAGGGCCAGTGATGGAATGAACTTAAGAGCATCATCAAGGAGGGCGTTGCCTCCAAGAGTCCCTAAAATTATGAGATCCGATTCTTTCTCAAAACCCCAGCATGGCTGCTATTTCTTTCATACAAATCATACTAACCACATCCATAAAATTTTGATATCTGAACATTGCAGGTCAGATGAATGAATGATCTGGCACAGCAATAATGGCATACTATCAGAAGCTGGGAGAACCACAGTTGAATTCTGGTTCTATGATTCCCTAGTGCTGTGATCCCCTGAGTCGCTGTTTCCTCATACACAAACCGTGAGGAATGTTCTACATAACAGTTACTGTCTTAAATGAGATAATGTAACATGGAGGCAATTTGTAAACTCTAAAGCATGACACAAATGGTAATTCAGCTTGTCATGGAAACAAGATACATGATCACTATGCTCTTTGGTATAGATTTAGTGTGGAGATGAAGGAAGAAGTTTCCCCACACAACCATCTAGTAAGGGAAAAGGAAGATAGGAAAAAGGATAGGCAGAAGGAAACACGTTAAAATTGGATAAAAGCAACCCTCAGTCACCTTTTCAGGTGGCTACAGAACACTCCTGAAACAAAAGGTGCTTTGTTCATAGTACTGGTTTAGCTAATGCTTGATAGCTGAAGGCTGAATAAATGAATGAGCAAGTAGATGAATGAATAAAGGTATAAATGAGTCAAGTGCTAAAAAACAAAGCCAAAAATGTTAAGTTGTGTGGAAGAAGTAAGATGATGATTTTTGAAAAACAAAACCATATAACCCAAGAAGTTGACAGTCATGGGGTCTACTCACAGTCTCTAAGGGCAAAACTAGCAGCAGTCCCAGTAAGTGGAGCAGGGGAGCCTACAGATACACATCACATTGGTAATTTTCAGTCTAACATGCTAGGTAGGTAACCTCCTCAGTTACCTTAAAACACAACGATACGTACAGAAGAGCTGTACACATCTGAAAAACTATAAAAATGACCCTGGTGCATTTTGAAAGCCACAACACATTGAAACTTCTAAGGTTTGCGCTGAATTATGTTTGATAGGGGGAAAAGTTAAAGCAAACCCATAGAGAGCAGACAGCAGACCTAATCTGCAACTTTATCATATCTTTGAACGAACTACTAAAATGTGTCCCAATAGAATGATTAAACATTTTCCTTAATTTTATTTGCCATATTGGTGTAAGTAATGATAAAAAAGAAAAAAAGAAAAAACATGTAAAGTCATATCAGAGAAGAAAGGAACAGATGGGTGAATGAAAAATGAATCTGGGGAAATCACAAAATACTGAAGATTCCATAGAAAATAGAATTACGTGTTTTGGATTGCCTAACGTAAAGTAAGATTTCAATAACTTCTGACTCTGAAATTACCTAACGATACAATGCCAGTGTAATTCTCAGCAAATTTACTGTTCTGAAAGTTGATTTTATCAAATTTATACAGGCTCCTGATTTCACTTTAAAAAGTTTAAGCACCCTTATAGCACAGAACCTGACTCAGGACAAGCCCAGTGAATATGAATAATTTTCACCTTTGTCCACTTACATAATTCTTACACAGTTACATCCAATATAATGAGTAAATCTGAGTGTGGTTAAAGGTCCATAGTCCAGCTAATACCATAGAATGAATGAATGTCAAGATCAATCAAAAGCATTGGCTACTTAAAGGAAAATGGCAGGCTGTGAAAAGCAACATTATTGTAAAGATCAAATAATTTGCATTTAGTCTCCTTTACAAAAAGAAGATCATTATAATGGTGAAGGTTTTCCTCCTCAACTTGGAAACTATTTTCTATTTGCTATTAATTTGGGGGTGAGGATATTAGAACATTTTTAAAATTTGTTATTTAGAGAAGAAAAATCATCACTTGAGTTAACAGGCAGACGAGGGTCACAGATAAAGCCACCTAGAGGTAGCTTAATCCTCACACAATGTTATGAAGTAAGTAGCATCCTTGTTTAACTAAAAAAAAATAATTATTTTAAACACAGTCACACCAATGAGCTGATTTAACTAAAGATATCCAGGAATTACAGTGCCATGATGAAGGAGAAGTTCAGCTGCATTCAACGTCAAGCCACTTTCATCCTCAGGAAACACTCTAAGACAGTCTGTTAACCACACTTTAAATCAGGCCCACCAACCAATATTTAACTCTAACACTCTAGGATGAGTTGGGAATAATTGTAAAAGCTAACCTTGTGAGTGGTGGAAAATTAAATGTGGCAGACAAAGACACTTAAGTTAGTGGTTCTGAGTATTAATTTTCATCATCTAACATCTATTATAGCTATTGAAGAAATTAAGCCTTTGCTTTTGAAACTTTTTAACATTTCTCTTCCTGATAGGTTTTTCTTCTAAGTGCTTTCTGTCCCTTTAATTATCCCCTAACAATGCAAGGTGCCCCTAACAATGCAAGTTGCCGGGAATCTTTTCATTTTGCCTGTAAGTCTCGTGACCAAACATCTTGTGACCTAGACTAGGAATACAACTTTTTTTCCATATTCTCTGTTACTGTCTAAAGAGTTAATTAAAGCATGAGTTTGCCTGGATTTAAAAAAAAAAAAATACCAAATCCTAAAATCAGTATCATTTGGATTTCTGATGCCAAAAATCTGTTTGACAGAGACAGGCTTTACTATACTGACATTTTAACAGTAGCCAAAGTCCTGTTCCCACTAAATTCTGTCTTGGCAACACAAATAATTTGTTAAAAGCCTAAATTCCTCCTGGTTAAGAGTTTTCTACCTCAAGAGTTTTCTGAAGTAACACAGTGCTGAAAGGAAGTTGAATATTTAGGTTTCTATTCTTATTACACAGAAATCAAACTTCATAGAAAATGAAAACTTTTTTAATGGGGAGAATTATTAATTTGCTTTAAATGTTCATTATACCTTAGATTTTAATTTGATACAAGAGTATGATTATAAATAAATATCTCACTAAAAAGTTAAATCTAATATTCTCACATTATTTAAAGATTGTAACTAGCAAACAAACATTCTAATCGAAATAAAAGGACCTGGTTTCAAGCTACAAGTGACAATATTTTTAATTCCATCATTCTAATCAGGAAAGTTCAAGAGATGCAATAAAGACTTACAAACATGTTCATCTAGATAATATCTAGACATCTTTCACAGATTTGAGGACCACTTATTTATCATTCCTGTCAAAATTTCACACAAAACTTACTGTTGGGATTGAGAGATCTTTTAAATAATTTTTAAATTAAGTCATGTAAAAAACACTTGACTCAACTTACCCAGAAGCTGAATATTAAGGAATTGGCAACAGCGTGTTCCAACCAAATCAGTGCACTTAATTCTTCAAGTAGATCTGATTGCCATCATCTTTTAAAAATTTCAACGATTCCACCTAATGGGGAAAGAAAAAAAAATAGTATTTAAATCACAGCAGTATTATATGATCTATATGTTAACATGGAAATCAAATCAAGATTATTATTTTATCTTCTAATTTACTGTGCTACTTGAAACTACAAACAATAAAAGCATCTGGTAAATATATTAAATTTTCCAGTTTGAGGTAAAATGAATGTTCAAGCATAGAGAAACAATAAAATAACACAACAAAGTGTGAGACCAGGAGAGTTTATATTCAGTACTGATTGGCACATGGAAATGACAGCTATGTCATTAAGATACTTAAAATTAGAGATAAGAAGAAGATGCGAATGTTGGCTTTGTGATTCTACTCACTGATTCTCGCTAATTTACTGATGCAATGAAATGGGCAGGTTGCAGTTCCTTAAAGCTATTAAGGCCTGGCTATTTATGACCTCTGTTGAGGAATATAAACTAATAACTAGATAGATCTTTCTGGAAAGAAGTCACTAGCATGAATTTCCAGATCAATCTTAGAAGTTATATTCTGTCTCCCACAGAAAGTATTCACCAAAGCCCTCATAAACAGCTTAATTACAGTTTATAAATAATATCAGCTAATCCATTTTACCTGCAGACATGAAGCCCAAATATTAAATTACAATCTCATTTCAAAGAGAAAGCTGGAGAGAAAGCAGTTATATCTCAACTGGCAAGAGGCTGATATAAATGGGATGCTGTGGGAGAAGCAGAAATTTGGACAGCATCCAACTATTCCAGACTTAGGTCTCTCCTGGGTAGATTTAGTATGTTTTAAAGTTCCAGAACATCAAACACAACCATATTCAAACAAAAGTTCAATAAACTCTTCCAAAGTCTTAAATATGTAATTTTTATTATGCAATCTGGAATTAGCCACATATTGTAACTCCCACACCCCCACTACACATACTAGTGAAATTGATGATTTATCTTATTTTTTAAATGTTGAAATAGATGTTATCCAGTATTAGAAGGTAGATGCTAAAAAAAAAACCTCAAAGCAAACACATAACAGAAAACAAATAGCCATAATTACACATATTAAGTAGAAATCCACAGTAGTAATGAGGAATATGGTTTTACTTCCAAGACAACCTATGTCTTTCTTCTAGTCTTAGTTTATTCAAGAAATAATTTTCTTAGAAACTCATTTGGATATGGTCTCAAAAGACATCTTTTACAGAGATAAATAGTCTTAATTATTTTTCTAGGGTTCTTGCCACAAATACGACAAATGTCAAGTGGTTTGGTTATTTTAAATAACACTGGATCAATGAATGTTGACCTCAACATAATAAACTGCGAAAAAGCACACTACATATCATTTTTCACATTTAAATATCTAAAGCTGTGAAAATTGTTTGAATTTTTCCAGGTACTTTATGAGAGTTATAAAGGTTCTTTCAAATTATATTGGTGACTAATTTCATAATATCATTCCATAATTCTTGCCATGGTGATTTCTGTGTTAGTGCACTGTTCAGAAATTCTTTTTGTTAGTCTCCAAGAAAAGAGTGAGGGCACAACCATTCCGGATGCAGAAGGACCTTGAAGACTCCTACAGATCCTTTCTCTCTGATTTTTCACTGTGTAATGGGCAAGTGATCTTTTCAAAAGTCTAGATCTGCCATCCTTTTTGTACTCGTTCACTTCTCAGGTAGAGCACTGTGTTCTTAAATTATGCAGGTCTCTTCTAATTTCTTGAGTGTGACCAAATCATTTAAGTCAGTATCTTAAAAGATTTTTTTCACCAATATAAAGGAATTGTACTCTAGTTTCAATCTAAAGATGCTTACTTGAGTAGCCAGGGATTTCAATTACTTAGGACTTTTCCAGCAATATTATGAGCCTTTCATAGTAAACTTCAGAAGCAGTAAGTAAAAATATATTAGCCACCTATAAAGATGAGTCAGTTAAATGACTGCCCCTAATCAGCATAAAAAAATTACAGATTGGTTGTCTCTGAAATAGGCAAGCCTCATGTGTGCAGACCCTGCAAACCACAATGCAACATTTTTTAGAAAAGTTTGTTTCCTTAGAAGTGAATCACCCTGAGTTGGGATAGTAGCTCTCCTACAAGTTCTATGCCCCCAGTAGTCCCACACTAAAACAGCTTTATAATCTGATAAAACAGATGGATCTGTTTGTTTGTTTTTTTCTTTTTGCCTACCTCACCATACTAGGAGATAAAATAAAAAGCCACCTCAGTTAGTGGTGGTTGGGCTCCACCAGAAAAACTAAATACATCTGAAATTTATATTTTGGTCAGTTACATGGTCTAAACAATGAAAGGATTCATCATTAGCTAATATTTGATCATGCTTATCACCAACTGGTCCACTTCAGTTATTAACATGTAATAAACCATGTGTCCCATAATGGTGGACATGAGTAACTTCCTACAGCTGAATACTTTACCCCATGTGGTATACAGAAACCAGGCTCCCTGAGTTGACAGGGTCACTCCCTGGGAGCATTGTAGCTGTCTGTACCTGTTACCACAGTGACCACAGTAAATTAGCTCTTTTCAGAGTACTTCCCAATAGAAAATGGGTATCTTGGAGTAAGTTTGTGAATGATGATGTCTTTATAGCCCTAAACTAATTCTTAGTGGTCATCAAACACTCTGTTTATTAAGAATGAGACCAAAGCCCAGAAGGTCACCATCACTTGCCCAAGGTCATATACCTAGAAGGTGACTGCATGACTAACATTGCACTAGTCTTTCCTTTACATCACACAGTTCAGAGGTTTATTCAGCACCAACAATGTTAAAGATGTTTTTCAGTCTAAGAAGTAAGTGAGAAAGAAAACGAATGTGAAATAAGTGTGAAAAGACCCACAAAGATGATACTGTCTTTGCCATGGCTACAATCAACTTGCCTCTTTGCAAATCTAATGCAAAACGGGCCAAGGAGAATAAGGAAACTAGAAATACCTTAAGTTTGTTACACACCCAAGACAGCTCGGCATATTTGGCAGAATCCCAAAGTCACATTTGGAAAGCAGTGCCCTAACAGCCAGAGTCAGTCCAGCTGCCCTACTTAGTCATTTGTATTATTTTTCCTTACAAATGCATGACATCATTGAAGACATTTTTAACCAGAGAAATACCCTTAATCCTCCCACCTGAACACAATTATTTTCACATATTTAAAATTTTAATCTAGTATTTATTTGCCCTAAGTGAGTATATTCTCACAGATGCTCTCTGCTGCTGATAATTATGCATTCTAATTTTTTATTTATAATTTCATAAACACATTCTAAATTTCCATGTAATTCACTGTCTAATTTTTTTACTCATCATAGAGTCATTTCCTTAATCATTTTTACATGTGAGAACATTTCAGACGTTCTCATTTGTTTTTAACACAAGTGGCATTGTTTTTTTTATTCTCTTAAAACACTAATAGAAATAGGATTAGAAATAGGATTGTTAAATCCAAGGGTATGAATATTTTTATGCACTTCATATTTACAACCATATTAATGTCAAGAGATTGAAATTACTGACAAAGTCAATGAGAATATATGAGGATTCCATTTTCACCAAACTTCCTCATCAACATATGTGATTAAATATTTTTGGTAGTTTATTTAATGTAAAATGGCACATTTGGATTGCTTTTTTTTTTTAATGGTAATCATAATTACTCTCCCATTTAACAGTAATTGTTTAGTTTTTTATCTTTAATATAAAAATTAGCTATAGACTATAACTACATTTAGGTCATATTTTTTCTTATGAATTTGAATAGCTCTTTAATATGATGTATATATTAACTTTTCTATAAATTGTTTTTAAGTTTATTTTTAGATATTTAGCCACTTAATATATCCAGCATATATTTGGATCTATAGCATAAGGTACATATTCAAATTTTTTTTTTAAAGATTTATTTATTTATACATACGTACAACACTGGGTACAGTCAGAAGCACGGGAGGGTGAGAGAATTCACCAGAGTCAGAGCCGGGAGCAGAGCAGGCAGAAGGACCGAAGTACACTGCTGAGGGGAGCAGCGGGTGGCAGGAGAGGTCTGCGCGCCATGTGGGACCCTCCTCCAGTGGCCAGGGAGCAGCCGGGGATCGAACCGGTGTCGCAAAGGCTGCGGGCAGCTTTGCAACCCAGCGCTCAACCGCTGCGCCACCGGGGAGGCCCCATATTCAAATATTTTTGACAAATTACAGGTTATCCACAATACTATTCATTAAGTTTGCTATTTTATAGTTAATGTGTATATTATATTATAAGGATCTATTTCTGAATTATCTGTTTTGTTACATTGCTCTACCTATTTTTAATGAAACATTTGTTCAAACTGAATAAGTACTATGTGACTGGTACGGTGTTATGTGCTTTTTCATGTGCTTTACCACATGGACTTGGGTGATGCATGTTAGGCAGTTTTTACTACTATTGTTTTGTAATATATTTGAATCCAGAGTAGGGCTAGATTTTACTCTTTGTTCTCTTCAAATATTCCTTGGTATTTTCCTACATACATATATACTGCAAAATTCTCACCCATTTTTTCTAGATCATACTTTTGAATTAAATGTTTTGCTGACCCTTTATATACTGCCATACCCAGAATACTCCCTGTTAAGAGTTCAATTAGAACTGTATAGAATCACACACAAAAGCATCTTATTAACATTTTGTTTCCCCATGTAAAAACCAAAAGCCATAGTACATTGTAATGCATCTCTGAATTCTTACATTTCAACTTTCATGTCCAATAGCATTTACTTTGGTACATGTCACCTTGTTCTCTCTTTGCTCATCTTTACTTCACTTGCTTGGAAATACCTCATTCTTTAAGTTCAGCAACTAAATAGTGTTAATTCCTCACAAGGTCTCCTGACTAACACCCTGTACTTTATCTTTAATTTTAATCAGAAGACAAATATTTTAAGTCCTACCTTTGATAAAACATCTTAATGACCGCAACAAAAATGAAATTAGGGCCTCCCTGGTGGTTC